TTGTTTGGAGGGCTCGGGCTGGATTCAAACCGTCAGCTCAGGTATATGTGGCTGGTGCCTTAGCCACTTGAGCCACAGGCCCCAAGCCGACAATATCGTTTAAAGTGATTTTCAAGTTATCTGTTATAGTTTGAATGTTTGTCCGCTCTGAAACTCGTGTTGAAATTTAATCCTTAATGTAACCGTATTAAGAGGTAGGGCTTTAAGAGGTGACTGGGTCAGCAGGGCTCTGGGTTAATGGATTAATGGTTTGTCAATGGAGTGCATTAGTTACCCCAAGAGTGGGCCTAATATAAACTCCAGTTTGACTCTCTCTCATGAGCCTCTTTTGCCTCGTGGTGCCTTTAGCCATGGTGTGATGCAGCATGAGGCACACCCCTTAATAGAAGCTGACCAGATGTGGCTCCTCAACCTTTAACTTCCCAGACTCCGGAACTGTAAGAAATATATTTCTTTTCTTTATAAACTACCCAGTCTCAGTCTATTTTAGCATCAGAAAATGGAGTAAGGCAATAACGTTAGCTATCTGCAAATTTGTATGCCATTTTCATCATCTGAAAAGTCAGTATCTTCGGAGTTCTTGTAGCTAAGGATTTAGTTGCAAGTGAGAGGTTTAAAAAATGCTCCTAGTAAAAAACAGTAAGGGAATGCAGAGATGAAGGACAGGAAATGTGAAGAAGCCAAGTGAGGGTGTGATTTCAGAAGTCCCACACTAGCCTCCTCACAAAGGAAGCTCACAAAGGAAGTTCTCAACCTTCCTAATGCTGCGATGTATTTCCATTGTTACAAAAGGGTTGCGACCCACAGGTTGAGAACCATTGCTCTAGAACAAAGAACACACCTCAGAGCTCAACCTGCCTTAACGCAAAGGAGCTGGCCTTTGGTATTCCATCCACATGAGCCTGCCTTTGGTTATATAGGATTATAGAACAGGGTGAAATATAAAACTTCCAGATACTTCCAATGGCTGAGGGTAATCTGCAGGTGCTAGCTGTAAGCAGCAAAATATGCAAAACCTGGGGACTGGCTCATAGAATCAGATCTGGCTGAAGTTTCAGCTCTACGGTGAGTTTCCTGCTAAGTTCCTCTGCTGGGCCCAAAACACATGCAATCCCAAACTCCTATTACAAATTCAAAGCTTCTAAGCAGTTAGCATTAAAGTGTGAACACCACTGGACTCATACTTGAGCTTGAATTCTAATTCCACAAAAGGTATTGAAAAAATCATATTACGGACTTGATGCTTTGTCCCCATATCCACAAAATGGGATAATTATTCCTATATCATAAAATGTATTCACTGCACCAATAATTTATTTACTCAATCATTTGATCAATAAATATGGAGTGTTGGCTCAGTGACTATGGCTCAGGCAGGCGGCTAAGGCGCCAGCCACACACACCTGAACTGGCAGGTTTAAATCCAGCCTGGGCCTGCCAAACAACAATGACGGCTGCAACCAAAAAATAGCTGGGCGTTGTGGTGGTTGCCTGTAGTCCCAGCTACTTGGGAGGCAGAGGCAGGAGAATCGCTTGAGCCCAGGAGTTGGAGGTTGCTGTGAGCTGTAATGCCATGGCACTCTACCCAGGGCGACAGTTTGAGGCTCTGTCTCAAAAATAAAATAAAATAAAATAAATAAATGTGGAGTGTCTACTCTATGCCAGGCATTATTTCTTTGCTGTTCGGAAAAGGGGATGTGATGAAAAGGGATTTATAAGGTGTAAGTCTGTAGGCAACTGTTTTTATAGTTCATGGTTCATCATTTTCAAAGCTCATTAGAGCAATTACCACAGCAGGGAGACACAGCATGGGTATCTCTTATCTGAAAAGCCTGGGATCAGAGTGTTTGGATTTCTGATTTTTATTTTTTTAATTTTGAATATTTGCATTATGTTTACCAGTTGAGTTTCCCTAATCTGAAAATCCAAAATTCAAAATGCTCTAATGAGCATTTCATTTGAGAATCATGTTGGCACTCCAAAAGTTTGAGATTTTAGAGCATTTTTATTTCAGGTTTTCAGATTAGGGAAGAACTTCTTGGCACTGAGCTGGTGAAAAAAGAAACCATGGGCTCGGCACCTGGGCTCAATCGGCTAAGGTGCCAGCCACATACACCCGAGTTGGCGGGTTCAAATCCAGCCTGGGCCCTCCAAACAACAATGACAGCTGCAACCAAAAAATAGCCAGGCATTGTGGCAGGCGCCTGTAATCCCAGCTACTTGGGAGGTGGAGGCAGGAGACTCGCTTGAGCCCAGGAGTTGTAGGTTGCTGTGAGCTGTGACTTCACAGCACCCTACCCAGGGCGACAGCTTGAGGCTCTGTCTCAAAAAAAAAAAAACTATCAATAATCCCTTCCTCTAAACTAAAGGGTTTTAGGTAACAAGCTGGTC